GAAGTTAAGCCACTGGCTCAGGATTGCAGAGCAAGACAGGATCAGAGTAGAGCCAGGATCATGGACCCAAAGACCCTGTTCCAAAGCACCTCTGCACTGCCAATAGAAAGGCTCAAACCAGCACAGGCTTTTCCACTTTCTATCTTTGTTTCCTAACCATGGTCTCCCCAAGTTAAAAGTGGTTTTTTATTCATCATGCTAATAACATTATAATACATATAACAAAGAAAACCTAATCCACAACCAATTACATAATAAATCACTGACTCATATATATCACTAGTATTTCCTTTCTGTTCTGGTAGTCCTTTTCAGAGATTTTTCCTCTTTTACTCTTGTGGCCCCTCTGAATCACTTTTCTTTCTTTCTGTTCCTGGCTGATGCTCTCTCAAGATCTTTTATCCTTTATGTCACCCAGTCTGTGTTCTTGGGAAGTTGGAGGCAATGTCTCATTTCAGGAGTGGGACAACTTGCTCTATAGGACCTACCACAGTTGCAGCACCCTTGACAAGAAGAGGACTTCGTGGGGGTGGGTAGGGCGAGATGTCATCACCAGCGAGAGCAGAAAGCATTATGTATTAATTATCTACTGCAACATAACAAATTATTCTCAATACTCAGTGGCTGAGAATAACAAGCCTTTACTATCTCAAGGTTCAAGAGGGGCTCCAGATCTTTCATGAAGTCGCAGGAATGTCAATTGAGGATTCAACAGCTGAAGGTTTGACTAAGGCTGAGGGATATCAGCATGCTAAAGTGAATATTAACAGGAGTGTTCTGATTCTAGCCATAGGGTCCTTTCTATTGAATTTCGCACAATGTGACAGTTAGCTTTCACCACAGTGAGTGATGAGAGACTACTCTCATGCACATAACCAAGATGGAGGGCTGAATATTCCTTCTTTTCTTACTTCCTTTCCTCCCTCCCTCCCTTCCTTCCTCTTGCTTGCTTGCTTGCTTTTGTGATAGGATCTTGCTATGTTGCCCAGGTTGGTCTGGAGTTCCTGGGTTCAAGTGATCTTTCTACTTCCACCTTCTGAGAGGCTGGAACTGCAAATGCCCATGACTGCTATCTTTTATAAGCTAATCCTAAAAGTGGCACACCATGACTTCTCAGAATTACAGTAACCTTTACATAATATAGGTATGACTATGAAGAGGTGGGGATCATTGAGGGCATCATATAGACTTACTGCCATATTCCGACAGGGGCTAGGGCTCAAAGAAGTGGCCACACTTCTCTGTTCACATCTTGATTATGTAATTAACATCCCCTAATATTTTACACTTTACAACATATATAATCATACATAGTGGCCCAAGTGGCAGTCCTGGGCCAAACGGGGAAGTCAAGAGAATTAGTCCTTGGTACTCTTCCATTCCCTGTTAGAAATTCATTTATTTATGTAACAGTTTTTAGGAACCATCTTCATGTGTGTACCTTTGTGACAATACTGTACTAAGTAATGGGGTCCTTAGGGTCTCAGTACTAATGGAACTTCAATTTTCTCTCATAAGCATTGCCTTTCTTTAATATCCAAAACATTCTGTGTTACACAGGATGTCCATAGCTTCCCACAAGCCAGGCATTAAGTAAAATATCACTGTCTTCACTCCTATTCTCTCAGGTGGATCTGAGCTAATATAACATTTCTTGTAGAATAAAATCCAAATGTTTAATAACCCCCAATCACTGGATGCCCAGCAGCATGGAAGCTGACTAAATAAGTGGCAGGTCTGTACTGCTGTGATGCTTTCTGCTGAAATCTACTCCAATTTCCCCCAGAGAGGTCTTTTCTCTTGCCCATCCAGTCAAGCTGAAAAACTAATCTAAACTCTATCTTCTCATGAAGTTGGTTGTAACAAAGTTATGAACTCTTCCGAAAACACTGCCATTTGCCAATTCTAAGGAAGGAAATAAACAAGTCAAAATTATTGTCAGATGATGGTTAGGAGAAAAATAAAACCTAGGAGGGAGATAGGAAGTTCTAGGAGAGAAGTAGGAAAGAATAATGTTCTAGAGATAGGAAATACATAAGTACAAAAGTCTTGAGGCTAAGGAATGCTTGGTGTTTTACAACAGCAAGGTCAGTGTGGCTGGAGAGAGATAAGGATCAGGTGAAACTACAATTTCCATTCACAGGGGTCCTAGTTGGGAGTGGCAAGCAGATCACTGAGGGCATGTGCCCACTCGAAGAACTGGCTACTGCTGTAGGATACTAAGCCTTTCGGAGAAGAGGAGAGACACAGTCTCTGTTTTTAAAAAGCCACTCAGACTGCTGTGTAGAAGTGTGCAGTAGATGGACATTGAGAAGTAGAAAGATCAGGTAGGAGACTATGACCAAGAGATAATGGTGGGTCGGACCAGGGGATTAGCAGTGGGGAGGAGGTACGAAAGAATGGACACTTTTGGGATATATTTTTGAAGGCAGAGTCAATAAACTTTGCTGATAAATTGGATGTAGAATGTAAAACAGGGAAAGGTCAGGACGAGAGAGCTCCACGAGAACCCGGATTTTTCTCACTTATTCAAAGTCATAGCCCTACCACCAAGACACAGTATCGAGTGCCTGGTACTCAATACACATTCCTTGAATGGATGAAAAGTGTAACTCTGATTGTACTATTCCTTTTTTGAACTTCATAAATAGTAAATAGCAGTTAAAACATCTCCAGACAAATGAAGTACTTACTATTGGAACCAGACTCAGCAACCAAGCAGTGAAAATGCTTCCACTGCTTTTCACAGGATGGGAGTTGGCATTGCTGCATCCTGGCTCACAGCTGCCAGTGAACAAGGAGTAAACACCAACTTTGACATTGTCTGTAACAGAAGAGCACTGTGTTATAAAATGTGAATTGTAAACAAACAAAAACTGACAGGACACATACAGAAAAATATATACAAGAGCAGTTTATTTGGAGAAAAGCACAGGGCATGAGATACCAGGGTTACATACAGTTCAATGGCAGAGCACATGTACTTAGCATGCAAGAAGTCATGGGTTTAATACCCAGTACCAATTTGCAAAACACATGGAAGACTTCTGTATTTCTATGTTCTTAAAACATAATCAAATCATTAAGGGCCAGGAATTTAGCTCAGTGGTTCTGCTGCCTGCTTCGCAAGTGCAAGGATCCAAGCTCAATCCCCGATATAAAAAAAAAAAAATCATTAAAATGAAAATAATAATATACATCTTAATATAATTAAGATGAATTATGTATTTTTGCTCAGTGGTGATTTACACAGGCTAAATGTCAATATTTGCTTTTGGCAATTTTCAGAGATGTTATAAATTAATAGTCATTTTTGAATAAGAAACTTGAAGAAAATTCAGTTCTAGACATATGCATAGCTCTTGACTAGTTCTAGTCTTTCTTTCTTTCTTTCTTTCCTTTTCTGTCTTTTTGGCAGTATTGAGTATTGAAACCAGGCAGAGCTGAACTACATATCCAGGCCAGCCCCCACCCCACATCTTTCAAAAATTTGACACAGTATTCTTAAATTGACCAGGCTGGCCTCAAATTTATGATCTTTCTGTACAAGCCTCTGAAGTAGCTGGTATTACAGGTGAGTGCTACATCCAGCTTTTGAGGTCTTTTTGCACTGATTTCTTCAGCCTGTTTGAGCTGCTCTGGACTGCTCGCTGTCTCTGACACAGTAGTCTGGTTTTCCTCCAGTATGCATTTGACTAGGTTATGATCAAATGACTTAGATTATGCTAGGTCTGCCACTTTGTTTGGGGTATGTGGGTGTGGGTCTGTCTTCAGCCCTGACTGAAGAGGACAAATTTTCCATGTACACAGCTCCGAAGTCTACACACAAGGGAAATTTAGAAGCAGAAAGAGCATTCAGCTGGTAAGAGGGGCGGGAGATGGGATTGGGGCAAATTTTATGGCAGCCAATTTTGTAAAGTATGTAGTTTTTAAAGTTATTTGGGGCAAATACAGGAGAACCTACTGCTTCCTCAGGCTACCCACAACAATGCTACTGTCCCCAAACCCTTCAATTAGTTGGGTGTTGAGGCATCTTCCACCTGCTCCGCTAGCGCTGCCCTCTCTGCGCCTTCAACCCTCCCCGCAAGAGCCCAGGCCTAAAAGGTGTGCAGCGCCTAGCTAATGACCAGGAAGCCTTCTGGATCAGGGTGAGCCTCGGGCAGAAGGACCTCGATGCGGCAGCGTCGTGAGAGGAGTCAGGCTTACCCCGGGAGAACTTTCGAAGGCCAATGTGAAGTTTTACTACCTTGGGAGCATGTGGGCACCATGAGTACACGGGTTTAGGGGAATGTGGCCACGGCGTCGGTCCCTGCAGCTACTTTGTGAAAGCTCTGAGGCGAGTGAAGTCAAGGGCTGCAAGGACGCTGTCCCTCAGAAAGGTCTCGGGCAAGCCCCTACTCTAGCCAGCGTTTCTCTTTAATGCGCGTGCCCGTCAAGGTCCACGCGTCCCCTCCCTTCCCTTCGAGCCTCCAGTCCGCCTCGGTTTCCCCCACCTCTCCGGGTACTTGCTGTTCCTTCCCGGTCGGACGCTTCTGG